TGGCTACCATTGGAAAATATCGTGATGTTCCGGTATATTCCGGGAAAATGTCGCAATATTCCGGCATATTCCGTGATATTCCGGCATATTCCGTGATATTCCGCCATATTCCGTGATATTCCGGCATTCCGGGTTTTCACAACGCCCATGTGGTTGCAGTCAGCTCGATAACCATGCGTACGACTGGTGGTTAGTTCAGTCTTCATATTAACAAACTCGTTTGTGGTGTAACACATCGTCCAGCCACCACCAAATGACGTCATATCACAATACACCACGAACGACTTTTCTTCGCCATCACCCTCTGGGTCTATCATATATTCTCCATCTCCGTAGCTTAAACCTTTATTCAGGATGTCAAGACAACTTGAGCCTGCAAAAAAGCAACATTTGCCATCGGTGAAACACAAGAATTAGGGACCGGTCCTTATTTATGGCGGGGGGTGGCACCGAAGAGAAAAGGGTTGGGTAAACAAAATTTTGAGTAAGTAAAAGGTTGGGTAAATGAAAAACAAAACAACTCAAGGGTTGGGTAATAAAAAAATATTGTCATATTTCCAAAGCATGACTCACTGTAAAATTGGAGACTGAAAAGCAATGTCAACATTCATATGCTTATACAATATGTGAATCAATCAGAGTCACTATCTTGATCATTTTCCGATTTGTTGGGAGACAAATGGTTCTCCAAAGAAAGTACATGTACAGACAACATGAAAATTGCACAATCCGTTATCAAACTCGTGTCACAGAAGTGGTAAAGGACATGTGCGACAACTGAATGGTATCCTTTTGTAAAGGTTTTGGCCAGGGGTGGGTATTTATGTTTTAATTTATATTTGAGGTTGGGTAATCAAATTTTTGACTTTTTAATGGTTGGGTCAGCAAAGTTTTTGCCACGAAAACATTTCTCTTCGGTGCCACCCCCCACCATAAATAATGACCGCTCCCTTATTTCGATATATTTAACAGAGTTGAACCTAGATTGGCGTGTTTTTAAACTGGACAGGAGACTGCAGACAACACATCAAGGAACGAAACACGCGTTGTCCACACAACGCAAAATTCCGATTGGTTGATATAGTTGATTGACAGGTCTTTTTTTGAATTTTGAAAAAGTTAACAGCTGTGGATTGAGAAAGATAAAACTACTTGAAAAATACAAGCTGGAATTCGAGCAAAGGCTCCTCGAGCAAAGGCCCCTCGAAAAATACAAGCAAAGGCCCCTCGTCGGGAAGTTAAATGGTTCTCTGTCACAAGCAAGGCAGAAAAAAAATTTTAAAAAAAGAAAATCAATATTGTCGGGAAAAAATCAATATTGGGGAAAAAAATATTGATTTATAAAAATAAAAATAAAAAAAAATATTGATTTTATAAAAATAAAAATATTATAATATTTATAAAAATAATGATTTTTAAATATTTATTATCGGAAGAAAATCAATATTGGGGGGGGAGCTCAAGAATAATTCTGAATTTCTTCCGCACTTTTCTAGTTCTTTTGTGTGTTTTGCTTATACTAATGGAAATTATTGGGGGGGGAGCTCCAGCCCAGCCCCCCCCCCCGCTTCCGACGGCCTTGGTCACAAGATTTCCTGCATTGTAAGTGATGTTATAAAATGTATATTTTTATCATATTATGACAAGAAAATACAATCACTACAGGGCTCATTAGTCATGTAAATTTATCGAATACCTTGAGGAGAGCCCGCTGATTGTCCTGGTTGCATTCGGGTGCGCCAATTTTTGCCATCACAAAACTGAAGTGCAACTCTATATATTCCATCCTGGTTTTTCATGCATCGATCGCCAGAGTAGGTTCTGGAATTCTACAAATGTAAAGACCAAGTACGTCGATAAATGCCAGAGGGCAAATGCTTAAAGGTGGTAAACTTAACAGGACCGTAGTGACCTGGGAGACAGGGGTGTCCCCCCTCTCCCCCCCCCCCCC